TTTAAGAATTTCAACCTTTCGGAAATAAATTGTCTGGACTGGGGATTTGACGGAAAAAGGATTCTGCTTATTTTTAACTGGAAAGTTCATTTTATAAATTTTCATGAAATCCTTCTACGAGTTGGCGTAATTGTGTGGCAATGTACTGTATTTTCTTGCTGCTTTCAACGAATGTTTAAATTATAATTAAACGTCTCATATATATGAGATGTTTAATTATAATATTTTTGGGAACAAATAGAAATTATTTAAAAGGAAACACGTTTTCCTATGATATAGTCAAATGCATTGCTGAGAGTAGTACCTGTGCAATTATTTCATATAGGGAGTTTTCTAAACTTGACTGTATTTAAACTAGTTTTCTTCAAATTTTTTTAAATAGAAACTCGTTGGATCTAACTACTTTATACGGTTATTAATTATTTACAAAAATAAGTTAGTGAGCTCTGCATGTAAAATAAAAATTCCGCTTGATGATTAACAAATTAGGGTTTTTTCCCCTCAGATTAAGTTTGCCTAACGACAAACGAAGAAATACGAATTAGTGTAAAAAACTTTTTTTAAGATGTGAGTTGCGAATTTAATGAACTTTATGGTAAGCTAAGATTATTGATCAATTGTTATCAAATTGTTACACTTGTGTTACATTGGTTCAAAAATGTCGGCAATTCGTAGCACTGTTCGTCTTGCAGTTTTGTCTACAGAATTAGCTTTGATAAAGACACGGTATTGTCGAAACAAATGTCATGTCATAATATATAATTTCGTGAAAATCTAAACTTTTAGTTCTTATATTTTTTTTTTACAGAATTTGCTATTAATCAGTAATATAAGCAGTCAAACTTACCTACAAACCTACTGGTTAGATAACTTTATTATACATTTATATTTATATTATCAAGAAATGAAACTACTAAGTAATATTTTAATAGGACAGAAATATTATTTTACCATTTTGAATATCGATGGATGGGAATGAGTAACTAGAAAGTTGAGGGCGGAAAATTTATGTAGATTTCTTGACCACACCTTTGGGTGCACTTTAGTTATAATCATGATCATTCGAGTAAACTTTCAAATGAACCCTGTCAATACCATATTCCAAGTAAAATAACCTGACTTTGACTCTTCACCCTTACAGCATGTTTATATGATGAGTTAATCTTAATTAACTAAACCCTAGTATCACGTGAAAATTAATTTTGAAGGCAGAATGTCGCCTGACTAATTTCTGTAAAATATTGCCCTCCATATGTTGGTAGCCGATGTCGAGTAAGTGGCGACAAATAACCAGAAACTTTCAGCCTATAGCAATTTTCATAATGTGGCGCGTGATTGTGACAAACATCTTGCGCTGGGTGATTGTTGATTTTAGTAGAACGAGTCACTTAGTCATCCGTATTCGTTTCTTACTTGGTGGGAATTTTAAAAAATACTTTTCAGTCCTTTTGCTTCCTGAGTCGTCGGTACTCAAATTGCATCACTTGTTAGCAAGTTGTAAAAAACAACACTAGAAACTGTGTAACTTATCTGAAAGCTATATAAATGGTTTTGTTGTGTTTTTTCTTTCGATAAACTCATCGGCAAATAAAGAATTTTTGATAAATTTGAAAATTTTTGAGATTTTTGTTCAAGTTGTGAGACTTGACATCTTGAGGTAATCTTTTTTTAATTTTTTAATTGTGGATGGAGCTAAATATGGCTATTGCGTTTAACAAGGTTATACGAAATTCTCTAGTGAATGCGAAGAATGATTAAATCTGAGATTCTGTTGGTAACTGCGTCTTTGTTTTTTTTTTGTTTTTCGAGGAATGGGAGTGTCCGCACATAAAAAAAACTCGATTTATTGCGTTAAAGTTCGCCAGAGGAAGACAAATGTTCTTTTTGGTTTATATTTTTAAACGTTATACGTAGCAAAATATAGTCGTTATTTATACATAGCTAATTCAAATACGTTCGAAATCATGAGTAACGTTTCCCAAATAAATGATTGAATAGGCCACTGTCATGGTTTAACAAAATAGCAACTAAAAAAATATACTATCGCAGTTTCTATTTAAATTCGATAAAATTTGTGATAAAAAAGCAATCCATTTCATGCACGAAATTAACACAAACAAACTACTTATATGGCTAAGTGATAACCACAGAATTAATAAAATAACATAATTTGCTTTGCGATTTTTGATAAATCGCAGTGCAAAACACTTGATGTTGGTATTATAAAAAAATATCGATTGAAGATTCGCGTTCCTGGTTACAAGTTGATCAAGGAATAACAAAACAAATTCATGCTAATTGGATGCTAAAAATAATACAAAAGTAAATTCGCATCTGTGGGCCTCGACATCTACTTTGTTATTAAACTGGTAATAACGTATATTCTTTGGGATATACGCATGTAATAAATGCATTGCCGCAAATACTCTATGGGGATCAAATGATCCATTCAGTAGCGAAAATCAAAATGGGAGATAGCTTGTCATATACTGACCCTTCGTCCCAGCTCATTAAGTTTCTATTAAGCAAGAAAGGGTCATGCGGTGCTCCTTGTTACTTAGCAAGTTTTGAAAACGACTATCGGAAAGCAAAGTGCTGCCATCTGTGTAGATAGTTAAATTTACATCTAACGATTCCTTGATGACGTATTAAGTTTAAAGTTTATTAAGTGATTGTTAGGCCAAAAAGTCATCTAAAATTGGGCATTTTTGCATATCATAAGCAAGGAATAATCTGGGAAACGGTACTGAAAATTGTTGAGCGACATCTGGCGAAGTTAAAAAAGAAAAATGAAAAGGTGTGATGTGTTCTTTTGTTTATAACATTTGCTACTAACAAAAGATAAAACGAAATACAAAGTTTTCCGATTCCCCAGCACCACAATGGGAGAAACTTTCTTGTAATTTAATCGTCCTTGTAACTTTCACCTTTCATCCATTCTTGTACAAATAAGAAACTGTGAATTTTTGTTTGCATAAAAAGATTTAAGAAATTAAAAAAAAATTGATTGCTGCAAGGGATTTAAACAATTTTTACCTCATTTAGTTGATTATTTAGCATAAACAGATATTATGCAGAGTGATTCAAAAATATACGTCGTTTTTTCAACAAAATTTAACTGCATGTCTGAGTTAACTTAAATTTGTTTTTTGACTATCTTTGTTATCATTTAATATTTGAAGTGAACATGAAGTTCAATTTTGTTGTTAAAAAAATATGCTATCTACGCTGTGTATGATAATGAGGCAAATCAAAAAAAGTAAAAATGAATAACATTTTGTCGTAGTCGTCCAATTTCAATGACTATATTTGACTATTTCAGATTTTTTGACTCAATCGGTGCCTTCCAAAATAATATTTTTCTAACGGATTTTATTAAGATTTCAAAAAATTTAAAAATTAATTCCAATTTACAATCTTTTGTTTTAAAAAGTTTGTGGTATCTCATTGAGGGCGTAAACAATAATCAATACAACATTGTATTTCATTGTCATTCTTGCGACGGATTTAACTGCATTGATAATAGTGTAGAACAGTATGTGAGAAGCTACAGATTTTTAGTGACACAAGGCTTCGGAGATAAAAAACGTAATAATTTAAAAATTTGTTTCCCACAACAGCCAGAGTAAATAACATTTAAATACGATGTTTCAATATTGATATTATCATAAAAATGCAACATTCTGGAAACATTTACATTCTTTATTTTGGCAAATGCTAGCATTGGGTGGCCATGTTACGTGGTTAGAAATAAAATATATGTGTTGCAGGCACTAAAATTATAATTCGATTTTTCAAAAATTTGACACACCTAAAAAGGTTTGCCATTACTGTCGTAGAAAGATCGGGAACATAATAATCTAGCATGAACATTTCAACCCCCCGACATTTAATAAATTTTAAATTTAATTTAAGGTAAAATTTGGAGTATCCCTCAAAGAGAGCGGACTAAATAGGTAGTTCCCTCAAAATTACGCGCCACCTTGCGGTTAAAATTGCCCTCGTAAGGCTGTATCTTACATTATGCGAGACCGTTAATGGTTCTCCACATACTTCAACTTGCATAAAGCTCAGCCGTTCTTAAAATTGGAGTCGAAATGACACGTTTTAGAGACTGCTATTAATTTCCCGATTTTATTCGACGAGAATGCGCGCTAGTGCCCCACTTTGTAATTTATGTACACATCCATGCGGTAACGAGTGATTTTCTGGGTTTCCCACGTAACTGAACGTAGAAATATTTATTTCGTAGCAATAAGCACTTTTGGCGTTAATTTTTGTAATGATCAACAATCAATAAAGAACTATATATGTATTAATATATGTATTATTTTGTTGATTATATAAAATTACAACAAACAACACAGACATTGGATCACAGTTTATAAAAACAGCGATTTGAAATCATTGTCTATAATATTATAAGAACTCATAAGATTTGTTTTATCGCAACAGATGTGAAAATATTGCTATAATCGATTGCAGTTTAACAAGTAGAATGAATTGTTTTACCAATAACATAATTTTCTAATGTTATTTCCGTTCAACCCATATTATAATTATAAAGCTGGGAAAAGATATAATCAAATATAATTTCCAGTGCCTATTAAAGTTTATGTGCACATAATTTATTTCTGAAAAAGAAACAATTCCTTAATTGCAGTTTATATTGTTCTAATTTAATATAGGATATAAGTATAATTTGAGTAACACTGTAATTAATCATATTTAAAACCTGCTGTGTTAATTTTACTTTCAAATTCGTGTCTAAATAGAAAGCAAATTCGTTTTGCAAGTTTGTTAATAATTTAGTAAACTATTTTGAAGAAGGACAAGAAGGAAGTACTACAGAGAAAGGTAAATGGTTAACAGTTTAATTAAAAATTTAAATCATATGTAAATGATCATTCAATTTCTATTACTCTCGAATTCACATTGTCACACTGATTACAGGTTATCAGACTTCTGAGAGTTTTGGACTGTGGTATGGTGTGTAGTTGATTTGACTTGAAAAAACTTCCTGGGATTAATTTGATCTTTTATTAGAGAACAGTATATTACACATTATAAAGAAGAGTATTAATCGAGTTTGCTGCAAATTCAATGGACTGACTCGATTCACCAATACTAATTTGAATAGTGACTGAGTTGTCATTTCTGAAACAAGAATAAACAAATAAAATCCGTCTAAGAAATAGTAACAATAATAGTAAATTGAAGATCGTTACCCAATAAAGACTTTCCGAAAACTTACTCGTTCGTAACAAATACTGCCACTTTTCCGTCGGGTCTCAAAGCTGCCACAGTTCTGATACCGTTGTCAGACAGACCATCGCTAGTGGTTAATGCCAGTTTGAGCGAGTCGGGAACGATAAACTTGGAAAAGTGTCCTAGAGCGTAGAACATCGGTTCCTTGTAGAATTCTACAGCTGTGGCATTAACAATAATTGGTGCATCGAGAGAAGCGTTCATCCAGCTCGGTCCCCCGTCAAGATTCAGCGCGAGGTTCCATTCCACCCATCCAGTGTAATGATGATCTAAATCCTATGATAAAACGTAATGATCTTAGGAGGCTCAATAGACTGTAATATAATATATATCGTAAGCGCATTTGGATGAATTAAAATTTCCTTTTCAAAATTCTTGATTGTAAGTACATCGTCAAATTATCAACTTGGCTTTTCTTTTTTGAGATTTTGATGAATAAATACGATCATATTTAGACAGAAATTACTGATTTTTTAAGCTGGCGAAAGCCAAATTAAAAAGCAGAGAGTTTAATAAATACTTACATAGACTATGTGATCTATGTATTCCGTGGCTCTATCCCAGTCTCCTAGTCGAACTTTGTTCTCTGTTAAATAGTTTATGACACTTTGACAAGCTTCGGTGCCGATCAGGAAAAGACTTTCTGGCCACCCTTCGAACCAGCTGTCTTGATTGAGATTGTCGTTGTACCAATGGAGGGCAATGCCATCGAGATAATCCAATATTTCCGGTCTTTCAAAGGTGCGCTAAAATGGCAAAAGGTGTTAATATATTAGTGATGTGCACTGTAACAAAAATACGTCATGCACCTTGGAAACAAATATAGACTAAAGGATAAGAGAAACGTGAGTAGGAATATTATTAAGTAAAATTATTCAGTTGTTTTTTATAATAGATGCGGGTAGGATAGACAAGAGGTAAATCAACAAACAAATTTTGATTGGCCTGGAAGTTTAGAATTATTAATAACATTCGCTTGAAAAAAAAAGAACTAGAAGATTTATTTTCCTCCGCAACTTAAAATGAATGTCGTTTAGAGTGAGCAAAGTTTTAAAAATCTTTTATTCGTCTTATTCGAACTTATATCGTTTAATATTTAAGTTCGTTCGTTAAAAATTATCTACTTATACTTACGTTATTTGAAAACTAAACTTCTCTATCTAATCGGGTTAATATTTTTTACGACAAAGTTGTCGTTTTGTCGTTTCAGAATTTATTGGTCATTGCTGTGTAAAAGTTTGAGTACTTTGGATAATTGTAATTAAGTCGACATCATTGTTAATAGCTTTATTATTTCAGTTTTAGTTTTGATTACCTATCAATTTCCTGTTTGTAGAATCAATCAAATCATTTAATTGAATATACACAAAAAAGAAGGAGAAGTAACCAATTCAACATGTAATACTAATTTAACCGAGAACATAGCAATAGTATGCACTTGATTTCGAATGATAATGATGCGGATAGTATTTTTGATGCGACAAGATAAAATTAAAAATTCCAGACTTACACTTTTGAAATTTTCAATATGGTTGGTGTTGTCGTCAAGCATGAGAATTTTCAGATCTTTGAAGGTTGAGTCTCTGAGTGTTGGGCCGAAGTAGTCCAGTACCCAGTCTCTCTAAAATTATTGTGATAGTTTAGAAAAATTAAGATCGTCGTTTCGTCCATTTTACCAAATTACCAGAGAGTTGTACGACCATCGCAAGTTGACGTTACCAGCCGGACTGGTGTAAGGTTCATTTTGTGCAGTTACTCCCCAGAACTCCACGCCAGCTTCCTGGTAAGCTTCGAAGAATTTGATGTAGTAGTCCGCCCACAGTTGATTGTACTCAGTTTTTAAAACTCCCTCGCCGAAGTAACTAAAAACGCAGAAAGTTTTTAGTCGATTTTAATTCGGGACTAATATTAGTTTTTAAATCCTTTTTCCGAAACTTCGTTAATTTACTTTGTTTCCCTTTTATCAAATTTACTCGCTCTGCACAACAAGCTAATCTACATAGTGAAAAGTTAATTAAAAAAATATTGATTCTCGCTACGCACGAGAATTTTAAATTTATAAAACTTTTCTAATCATCGCGGCTGAGAACTTTGTGTTGTGAATTTTTGTCATTGAATGTGTACGCGATTTATTTCAAAATGCAAACGTATCTTTAGTTTCCGTCTCGTAATTCTGGCCTTCTTAAAGAACAATGTTCCATAATATTCCTCAGATATGAATGTAACTCGAGGTACGATTGATATGTAAATTCGTGTCCAATCAATATCATAACGAAAAATAAAAAAAATTACAATTTTAATATTTTTAATTCATTATTTACTTTTTTTATGCAGATATTAATTTTGGTATTAGTTTTTGACCAGTTTATGTATCTGCTTTATAAATCTTTTCCTTTTCCTAATAATATATATTTATTCAACTTACTCTTCAATAGTCTTCATCCACTTTGGTGATGACCAAGATGAAAGGAAGAGTTTAAGAGCGTCACCACGAAACTGTTGGGCTTTTCTGATTACTGGAATCTAGAACAAAATGTTGAATATGAATAGGTAGTTGGCGAATACATATACGGAAATAATGAGCTAATAAAAGTGCAAAAGCCCATAAAAATTTAAGAATGTATGACAAAAAAATCTCCTTCCATTTTAAATAGACAAACTCACTTTCATTTCCGAATCTTCGGGCACTAAGGCGAAGCTTTCAAGTGTCTCATCTTTTTCATCTAGATTCGTAAAACCTCTGACAGAAAAATCGGACGTGCCCATTAAAACCCTATTGATAGTATATTGGATACCATCATCAGCGAAGTAACTTTGCAAAAGTTTATCTTGGGCGGCCTCGGGCAAGGTTAGTATCGTGTAACTAGCGGCATCAGTAAAAGCCCCACCGAATCCCAATATTTTCTGCTGGGTGGCTTTAAGATCTGGGACCGCGATGGTAGCGGTGGCAGAAGGACCTCCGTTGGAAAAACTTCCGGTCGAGGAGGCGAATCCCAACTTTAATTTGGAAGTAGTGTAGAGCTGGTACTGTCCGGAACTGAGGTCCAGTACATCGGGGACGTTGTCACAGTAGGTGGAATTACACACACATACTGGTCCGTATTTTTCAGCCCTTTGAACGCAATCGTTTGCGTTGCTATACTGCAGAGACAATATCAAAGACGCTACAACTGCAACAACCCGCATTTTGCACTGAAATGTCTGTTACTAGTTACTAATGTAAAATTTTTCATATTATTATATAGGCGGCCCTTCAGATTTGTATCTCGATTTAAGTGTTTTAAGTACGGATTGTTTATTATGATAAAATGGTTTTTATGATACATTTTTGAAAAAACCTTATACGTGTACATTAAAATGATTTGTTGATTGTTAAACGTGGAAAGTCTGATAAAGCCGATAAATAAAGATTTGTTTTTACTATTTGCATGGTAAATAAAATTTAAAATAACTATAGTTTTAAGCAATAATTTTGAGGTGAATGTATCGTGATTTATTTTGATAACACGGAATTTTTGTGGCATTTGAAACCGATAACAATTGTTTACAATCGAGATGTGACAAGGAGTGATAAAGATAAGTGTAATGGAGTATGAAAAAAATATCACCAAGTGAATACAGAAATCGAGTGTGCGTAATCGCGAGCGAATAAATAAACATCTTGCTCTATGAATTGCCGATTTTTTCGGTGTGTTTAACTTCTTTCAACAATTTGGTAATTAACATAAGTCGCTTTGTCAGAATTTCGCAGTTATCGATTTCAAAATACCGAGGAGAATAAATTCTAAAGGATATTTTAATAACATCGTAAAAGTTTATACAGTACTTAATTTAGTAAAATACTGGGGAAGAGGGTTAAAGTCCTGGATTTCGAAAAGCCTGACCTCCTAGTTGGATTCACCTTAACAAACTTATCTATACCAATGACGCATTCCATAAACAAAGAAAAGAATTTTGAAACCACTTACCTTCACATTTCTCTTTCTTTAAGTTAATATTATGGTCTAAGCCAAAAAAATTTTGTTTTAATGATTTATTAAACAAAAATTCGTAAGATAAGGTATTTTTGTTGCTCTTTACAAGGAACGAAATTTATAATTTAACATGACAGGGTCTGTTAAAACTATAAACATCCAAACAACCGAAAACATTATTAATGTGTCAAGTCAACAAGAGAATAAAGGATAACGTCACAAGAGCTATCTTAACAATGATAACGATATTTTAAATGCAGCAATCACAATTAAAACATTCGTGTAGTTTACAATTGAATTGTACATAGATGTGTATAAAAACAGTAAAATAGCGATAGCGATTTTCTCCAATTTATCTCCAATTAAATTTGGAAGCGATTAGAAAGAAAAACGGAAAACTACCCTCGGGGTTTCCCTTTTCTTTTGTAATGCGGAAAACTCAATCAGTATACAGGAATAAAATTACTTGATGGTCTTCATCGCGGAAAACGTTTTCCCCATCCAATCCAAGTAATCCCATAAGACAGGACGGCCGAAACGTAAACTTAAATGAAATTATTTTTGGTACGAACAAAAAGCAATCGATTCTGTTCCGATGGTCACTAAAAGCCTTCTATGAATGCAGACGTGTTTGCAGAAAATTGGAAACTCAAAAGAATTGTAATGCCCACATTCTTGCAACGGCGACCGGCGAATCACAGCGGACCCGAATGGAAAACAAGTTTTCCCTGCCCGACTTTTAATGTGGCAGGTTGGGGGAACTTTTTTGCTAAAACTTACGCTTTATGAATTTTGATTTGCTAATGGCTGATGGATGACATTCAATTCTACCAGTGAAATGCACTTGAATAAAAATCAAGTCAATATTACTTATCAAAATATATTTGGTATCACATTTTCTAGATTGTCTTTATCGCACTGAAATATATGGTACCTAATCTACGTAAAATTATTATTTACGCTGATTACGGTGTTCCGCATAAAATATATCCTCTAATCGCCATATTTATTCGATGTGCAGAAAAAGGAATATAAAATAATGTTCCTGGATAACTAGCACTTATGATCAGTTTTTCAAGAACAAAGATCACCTTTTAAAAAACAGATTTATTATTATAGTCATCTTGGAGATTTAAAATAGTATAAATAACTCTATAATTATTATTATTTTTTTTTGTTAAAACTGTGTTTACTTAAACGTTTTAGCAAATAATAAGGGAATTTAATATTTTATAGGAAATAATGATAATGTAGCTTAAGTTGTTTTTCTACTCCCGTCTGTAAAATGCCTAATTACACACCGATCTAGCCTGCGGGAAGCGTCACTTCCGTTTCCCACGGATCCGAGTCACTTCGGACGTTTCCGGGATTTGACCGAACGGGAGCAATCGGATGTTTTCGGAGATTTTACTGCACGTTTTGAATTTTGACGTTTGTCAATTCCGAGCGTCATGTTTTTACAGTTTTTATATTAATATCTTGCTAAGACCAATTGTACTATTTTCAAATATCCATATCTCATCAGTACAAACAAAAGAAAATTGAAGGTTAGGACATGCTTTTTCTTGCAAGTGCGGTAAACGGCATTTGACTCACAAGTTTATTTGACACGAGTGGAGCGAGTGTTTAATAAACGAGTGATTTAAAAAGTTTACCGAACGTGTTGCATACTATACTTTTTCTACGACCGTTAGTTTTTGGGCACATTTTAGCAAAACCACACGATACATGACCGTCAGATTTTTTTCGCAAAACAACACGAATACATTCACTGACATGACCGTCAGAATTGACAAACGTCAAAATTCAAAGCGTGGGAAATATCTCCGAAAACATCCGATTGCTCCCAAATCCGTGAGGTAAAATCCCGAAAATGTCCGACGTGGCTTGGATACGTGGGAAACAAAACGGACGTGGTAAAGTGACGCTTCCCGCACGCTATATCGGTGTGTAATTAGCTACTTTACAGAAGGGAATAGAAAAAATGTAGTATGCAACACGTTCGGTAAACTTTTTAAGTCACTCGTTTATTAAACACTCGCTCCGCTAGTGTCAAATAAACTCGTGAGTCAAATGCCGTTTACCGCACTTGTTGCATAATATACAATTACAGGACCTGTAAATTAGACAACAAATTATCTTCAATAAGGGTTCATGAATTACTTTACTTTAATTTTACTTTCTGTTAACTTAATTATTTGAACAGGTCCAAAATAACATTCTTTAGGCATTTCGTGTAATATTGTACTATGAAATATATGTTCAATTTTTTAAGATATTTTCAATGTTCCGCTTTTTTAAAATTTTACATATTGATTGATATGAATTACCTTAAAAGAAATATATGGTTGGTTGGTTTGGTTAAACTCTAATCATTTTTTTTTGTGCGTATATTAACGCCACAAAATCTTACCTACCTATTTTCACATTGGTATGTGTTATACTAATAAAATTGGAGCAAGTTTATACTCCATTGAGTTACTTTTTTATTATACGCGATTGTTTAAGTCGCACATTTCTTCCTTAATCCAGGATCAATTTTGCCTATTTCGTCATGCAGTTTCGCTTAGCTTGTGTGTCAACCATTGGTCGTGAACTGAACTGTCAACTCGCATTTGATTCAATAGCTTTACGTGCTTTTCTTATTGAAATATCCACGCCGGGGCTGTTCGGATTGGATTATTACCATCATGCTTTCAACTTAACCTTTAGATGTTAATGTAGCGTTTCGAGTAAATAATATAAACCCTCATAAGACCGATGTGAATATGTATAATGGAAATAATAGTAAATTTATTTCAGTGCTCGAGCACAGCGGGAGCGGTATATTATTGTCTCTGACGACTGAGCGAAGTATCTTTGCCGGATTCGAGAATTGTGGGAATTTAAGCAGGTTTATTTACGGAATATTAACTTCTAGCATACTTGAAATGAGTAATATTTGTTTTGTCGTAATGCTATTGGCGAGGAGCTCAGCCGAAATGCAACATCTAATCATTAAGTAATAAATAATGTGATATTTGAATATATTTTTAATTTGCTCGATGCAAAAATATCTTATTTTTACCCATGAAGATTATAGGTATACTGGTTTTTAATATGGAGGATTCTATATTTCATAAATTACTTTCCAAAGTTTTTTGAATTTCAAAAATCAAAGAGCACTGGGTAAAGGCGTAGTGGGACCAATAACTAAACTAAACTAAACTAAACTAATCTTTTTGACACATGTTTTTATTTTGAAAACTGATTTTATATAATTTTATATAATTTAAAGGAAAAAAAAAACGATATTTCTAAAATAATTATTTTTTTTTAACCAGTAAAAAAGTGAAATCCTTGTTAAAAAACAGTGAAAAAAAAAACTTTACCCTGACTTTTTTGAGTGAAATCTTCATCTTTTTGCCAGAAAGCTGCGTTGTGTTTTGAAGGGCATATCCCGTTTTAACATCCAGCAGTAGTCCGCCATTATCATTAGGGTTGATCTGCCTTGGTATCGCAGTTTAATTTTCTTAATGTCCTGTTGAAACCTCTCTCCCTGTTCTTCGCTAATCGCTCCAAGATTTTCAGGAAAAGTCTGAAAACAGGAAATGCACCTTCAAACTCATATTATAACCTAGACGATGAAAGTGTTCTAATATATTTTGAACAATACTTTCGTAGTTTTCGTACTTTTCCAAGAAACTTATCAATTAATTATTTAAATGGCCCCAGGCGTTTTTCTCGATATTGTTCATTGTGTTTTGAAATTCCTTGTCTTTGCATAATGTGCTTATTCGCGGCCCAACAAAAATATCTTCTTTTATCTTGGTATCAGATATGGCTGGAAATTTCTCGCACAAATATTTAAAACACTGTCTAGAGCTTTGACAAACTGCTTCCTCAAGCGAAGTTTGATATGAAAAGGAGGTAGTAAAACTTTTTTGGGGTCAACTAACAAAAACTGAATACATTTTTGCTACCAGGTGTGAGGCTTGTTCTAGAGGCCATTCTATTTGAGTCCAATCTTTTGCCATCTTGCCATCTCTTGCCATATTTATACGTTCCAGAACACTAGAAAAACGCAACAATGAAGGCAACAGCCGCGAACACAGCAGCACGACAACTAAACTGCGCAAAAGCAGGTTCCAACGCTGTATTGACGCTTCTGCGCCAACTCTGTTGTTTTGCAGATAAATCTAATATTATTCAGTATTGGCAGATCACATTTAATTCCATAAAAATCAATTTATTTAAAAATCATGCCTAA